AGCTTTTGTGAACCTCAGGGCCAGAGGTTTTTCAGTGTACACCTATGGGAAAAGGCTCCGCAAAAACCTACTAGAAAATACAGCTTTCATTAAAACCTGCAAGAGGTTCCTCTTATGAGTATGTGGGCTCAGGTCTCTACAGAAAAAGAAGATTCACATCAGTATCTTTGGGCTTCCAGAAGAGACCTCTAGCCACCCAGGTGAGGGCCACTCAGAGTGGCATTCCCAATCCCTTCTTCATGTTAAATCTGAGCTAATCTCAAGGGAAAAAAAAAAAAAAAAAAAAGAGTTAAAGACTGGGTAAGAGGCAACAGAGCAAAAGTTTACATATTAAATAATCATTTGATAAAGATCTCTTCAGCTGAGAGCCTAGTGCCTTAGCTGTTCGGATACTATAGGATAATCTACATGTCCTATTTCTCCTATCTTGTTTTTTTTTTTTTTTTTTTTTTTTTTTTGGTTGGTGTTTTTTGTTTGTTTTTTTTTTTTTTTTAAAAGAGGCATGATTCATCCTCAGCTTAAGAAACTGATCACAGGTGCAAGTGGTGCGCTCTGACTCACAAGTGGCACTTCTCCAGCTCAGCAGCACCTGGAAGTAGGATGACATTAAGAAATGCTTTGTTTGAATTTCTCACTGGTTTGTTTGGACATTTCTCTACTCACAGTCACACAAAAATTGAGGTTGGAAGGGACCTCTAGAGGTCATCTGGTCCAATCCCCTGCTCAAGCAGAGTCACCTAGTGTTGACTGCCCAGGACTGTGTCCAGATGGCTTTTAAGCATCTCCAAGAATGGAGACTTCACAATCTTTCTTGGAAACCTGTGCCAGTGCTCAGTCACCCTCACAGTAACGAAGTGCTTCCTGATGTTCACAGGGAACCTCCTGTGTTTTAGTCTGTGCCCACTGCCTCTAGTCCTGTCACTGGGCACCACTGGAAAGAGCCTGGCTCTGTCCTCTTTCCACTCTCCCTTCGGGTGTTTATAGACATTGATGAGATTCGTCCTTTCCTAAGCCGAACAGTCTCAGCCTTTCATAGAATCATAGAATCATCTGGTTGGAAGAGACCTTCAAGATCATTGAGTCCAACCATTCACCCTGCACTGTCAGGGTCCCTAAACCATGTTGCTCAACACCAAATCTACACATTTTTTAAACGCCTCCAGGGATGGGGACTCCACCACCTCCCTAGGCAGCCTGTTCCAATACTTCACAACCCTCTCTGGAAAGAAATTCTTTCCTCACAGGAGAGATGCTCCAGTCCCTTCATCACCTGAATGGCCCTGTGCTGGACACTATCCATTATGTCCATGTCTCCATTGTATCAAGGAGCCCAGAAACTGGACCAGCACTCCAGGTGTGGCCTCACCAGTGCTGAGCAGAGGGAAAAGATCACCAAGCGTGCCAAGCACTGTGAATTTCGTTCCTGGGGCGAGCATGGAAGGGCTCGCTGTGGGTGCTGTACAGGAGTGAGGTGCTACACATACCAGTCCTGTGTCCAAAGGACAGGCACTGCAGTCAAAGCAGCGTCTTCTTTGTGCATATATTCTCTCATCTGAACCAAACTCTTTCTGAAACTAATAATATATTAATTCTTCTACTCTTTGCCACAATCATTCTGAGTTTTTATTTTCTTTTTCCTGTTTCTCTTCATAGTCTTTACAGGACTTTATGGAAAGGAAATGCATATCAATGTCTAAGAAAGGAAGTAGCTGGAACTGACGACAGTCTATCAGGAACAATACACCTATATTATATAAAGATTGTGATTTCCCTTTCCTAACGTGCATTTGTGAATGGAAGTCAAACACATGCTGACCTTTTTTGCTATTACATCACTCAGAAAACACATCTGCTGAGCCGTCTGCAATCATCACAAAGGGGTTTTGTTATGTTTTTTTAAACAACACAATACAATGACTTTTTCCTTAACCTCATCTAGAAGTGTTTTGCCTGGAAATATTCCTAGTAATTCTGCCTGAGGCAAACAATAAATACACAATATTTCGGACTGATAACTGCAAAAGTTAATAGCACTGTAAACAAGTTCCCAGCACACAAGGCGTCAGAAACTTTACAATCTGCATCGCTACCATTCCTATATGTAACAGCATTTAATGCATTAGCTGTTTCATGGTTTCCCAAAGTAGTCTTCACACCCACATAAAATTAAGGATTATTAAGGATAATTATTAGGGTTCCTATTTTTAGGATTAACACATTAGCTGACCTACACCCTAGTCTTTCTGTGATGTTTTCACAGATCACCATGTTAGTTCACATTTAAGAACCAAGTAGATTTTATGTTATTAGTACCCCACTGACTTTGTTTTTAACTTATGTTCAAATACATTCAAGCTCCAGTAATTTTAAACTCATAAGTGAAAATACACAGATACAGAAGTGTCTCAGCAAAGCGTGACCACCCTCCATAAAGGAAGTCTCACTGTGCATCTTCTACCCCTAAACATGACATGTGTTCCTCGGTTTACTATACCTACTTCTTAATTTTCATTTTAAATTACTTCAAGACTTTCTGCAGCCAGAGAGCACTATGGATACTGTTGATCTGACAAAGTTATCTTGTGAAGAAAATCAAGAGAGAGCACTTGCTGTTTCTAAACAAGCTGGATATTTACATGCATTGAGCCATCTGAAAACAACAGGAGAAATTAGAGCTATTTGGGTACTGAACATCAAATGATAGGAGTAATGGGTCTTTGACTACATATATAAAGGCATTGAGCTTCAGTGACTGAACTGATCCACTATGCTTTCTGTGCATAGAGGAAGAAGCAAGGATTCTAATAGAGACTGTGAGGTGGATTTTCATCCCAGAAGAAAGATTACCCCTTTTCATTCATGGAGTCCCACAGTAGGCTGCACAATCATTTTACCTATGTATCCCATAGCATTTGCCCTTCATAGGCTTCAAATCAAGGTGCCTTGTAATGCAGTGATCATATTTCATGTTTACTTTTAAATCTCTATTTAATTTCCTTTATGCCAATAGACCAAAACCCAAGTTGAAGCACATAGCTGGAAAGTAACCCCCTCTGTAGAACAAACTGTGACCCTGATGAATTGCACAAAGCTCTTTGGAGGCTGCATTTCCCCTCCCTCCCGTTTCACCACTCGGATTCCTTTGTGTGGTAAAATAGGTCAGTGCTCATAAAAACACCCCTCGAGGGCTGCCTGCCTCACATGACCACAGTAGCCAACTACAAGGAGTATGAATGCTAACATGGGAGCAGCTGATTTGCACAACTTTCATGAGGCAGGGAGAACTGAAATAACACACACAGACCAAACGGTAAGGGAAAGGACTGTAAGATCTGTTAGAAAAAAATAATGAACATGTATTTCCCATCTCAGAGCTTCAGCTGGGACAGGCTCTATGAAGATCCAGCTGCACAGAACTGCTGTTTTCAGAGGAAGATAAACAGAGGACGCTATGATACTGGTCAATACAACATAACCTTCAGCTCATAACGTAATTCAGTCTGGTTGACAGCTCTGCCTCGTCCTTAACATCCTCTGTAAATATGCAGCCCATGCATCCTTTCTTACCTATTCTGCCAAGGATGCGACTCATGTTTCTGAAATGGTCTTTTCTGGAAGAAATTGAGTAACAGTAATTGCAGTCTTAAACTGCTTAAATACACCAATTCCTTTCAGAGAAGATGCTAGGTTCACTTTACTACCCCACTCAGGTATGTACAGAAACTGAAACATCAAAAATGATGGTATGTGACTAGGATCAAGGCCTCACTCCTGTGCCTCCAAAACAAAGAAAAATTTGCTATTTAGTGGTAAAAAAAACCCACCAAAACTTTTAAAAAGAACTAGAATCTAATGTCTGGCTTCAGATCAGAGACTACAGCTCAACAGGAAACCTGCTGGCTTGCAGACTACAACTGGTGAAAGAAAATCTCTTTCCCAACACTTTTTTCAGATTCTTTGTTGCTTGGGGAAAAAAAAAAAAAAAGTCCTGTACCTTTCTGAAACTAAGTCTTTATATGATCTAACACTGGACATGTAATTTTTTCCAAGATTCAAGATACTGAGCTTGGCTCCTCAGAGACTGGCAGGATTTCGTAGCCAAGGTACAGGGCCACACAAATGCAACTGCAGTATTTACAGAGACCACCTCATTAGACAAGTATGACAACCATCACTATGCGGCTCATACTAATAAGGTACCCCAGATCTCTGCTGGCTCTGCACTTTGCAAGGTTAGGTGTCTCTGTGTTAACATCTCACTTAAAAACCTCAGGTTTCAAACTTTGAGTAAAGCCTTACTGATTTTGAACTAAATTAACTACGTGTGTATGCAATACTGCAGGAAAGTTAGTGAGACATCCTGGAAGTACACAGAGAAGCACACAAACCAGCTCTGGAGAAGACAGTTCTAGTTCAGAAGTATTACCTGGGATTCTCCTTTACACAAATTATTTTAGCCAATTACTTAACTAGATACAAAACAACCAGTTGTGATGCTAATGAAAAAAAGGAGCCCTACTGTGAAATACATGAGCCGCACACATAGGAAAGACTTCTATCTGTACAGTAAAAAAGGAGTTATTTCAAATGAGATATATAAGAATCTCTAACAATAGGGATTTTTGTCTTTTACAAACACCGATACTAGGTAGTTGTGTGGAATTAGTGTTGTGCTGTGTAAAATACAGTATACTGCCTGTTATCATATAAACTTCTGGACTCTTGCAACACTGAAGACCTAGGGTTTAAGCTAAAGGGCACAAATCAGTTTCCATGTGTATCATATAATAAAAGTGGGAACAGTATCAAAGTATCTACTATCCTTCAAAAAGAGAAAACAAAGTGTGAAAAGTCTTTTCAGAAGCACTGAAAAGTAGAGTAACCTTACTTCAGCAGTTTTATGGAGAATTCAGAAAATGTAACAGTGGAAAACTACCTCTGCCAAAATATACTGACATGCAAGTTCCTCAGGATGTTATCAAATCATATCACTACATTACCTTCTGCTTTTGTGTAGATTGAGATGTTTCCATTTACCAAGCCAGCAAACAAGTATTGTGACATATACGTTAAGCTCATAACAGTTGATTTTTCAGGAGTGAAGAAGTGTTGAAGTCGAATTTTCTTTGAGCCTTGGCAACTTTTGTAAACTGAAATACTATAAGAAGAAATAAGAAAAAAATAAACCTGTGAAATTATGTTTTATTTAGTTCTTACTAGAATACACACAAAAGATGTTTAAAACAAAACATTAAGGGGGAAAAAAGATTTTCTCCTTCCATTCACAGGAAGACAATTATGGAAAGAAGTATCTTGACACTCTAAAATGTCTATGTAGACAATTTACGATTACTTAACACTGACATATGACAACACTTTTCATATCTTGTCTGGAGAAACATCTATTCAACAAAGAGACACGACAAAAGTTCTGCTCAAGGTCCTTATTTTGAGTCTATCCTAAACTTCTTATTAGTTAAAAAAAAAAGAGAAAAAGGATTAACTATTACCCGGAGAACTAGAGAAGAGAGAAGAAAAACTCACTACTGGACATCAATTACACTTAGAATTCCCACCATTCCTACAGATTATTTCCTTGGGTATGTTAGGAATATTGATAATTACATTTGGAATTAATTGCACTTCAAAAGCAAAGATAATAAGTACAATTACACGTTGGAACTTCTGGAAACAGCATTTTCCTTGTATAATTTTTGTCTCCTTCATTTATATTGGTTAGAAATCCCGTCAAAAATCATGTGTAGTCACATACTTATGCCCTCACTAGCTATAACAAGATCTATTTGCTTACTGACCTGTAAGTTTAGTAAATGTAGCTTTGTTCTTCAATCAAGTGATGACTCAGTAAGGTCATCAGTTCAAACAGTAAAATAATTCATGTCAATAGTAAACAGCAATATTATTTATTCGCATGACAAATCCTGCACAATATCACAGTGTAGACAGTCAGTGGGTTCCTCATTTAACACTTTGTCATTCTGAAAATTTTCCAATATCTAAAGATTATGTTGTAACATTACAAAAGTAATATTTATATTTTTTAGACATGATGTATGATGAACTAATCCTCCTTCATCAAAGATATGTACTATTACAATTTCAAATACTACATAGTTTATTTTAATATCATGTGGAGTGTATTTTTCCTTGATTTAGGTAGAAAGGATAAGTTGAGGTCACTAGGTATTCATGGATACTTTTTAAAAAAGAAAACATACTTTCAAGAAAAAATATCTCACACAATTTTGCTATAGAATAGTAAACCTAATGAATAAATCACACACAGTACACTAAAAATGAGAATCACCTTCCTTCTTCCATGCCAAGGCAAATAGTAGGCACATTAGAAGCTTTTGCAAGAACATTTTCAGAGTCGAGAGTCTTATTTTGCTCTTTCAGTTTCTCCTCCTCTGGTATGTAGACCATGCAGAGAATCCGTGATTCCACATTGAAGCACTCAATAACCTTGGGGCCGGAGCTTTGAAATGAGACTATTGCAATCTGGCCCATCTGATTAGTACAACTGCCAATCTGAATTGGAAAGAGGAAAGAAAAAAAAAGGACAAAGACTGATACCTGCCTCCAGGAAGATGAGCATTAACAAGAAGGAATGACTGGAAAGTTAATCGAAGAGTGCATCTCAAGTTTTATGCATGAATATGAGTTTTCATGCATTAAGACATGAACAAGAAAATAATTCGGCACAGATACAAGAGATTTCAAAACGTTATATACACAAAATTCCCTGGTATACTCACAAAATGTGTTCTTTTTTTTGAAAGGATGAATATTATGGCCTATTCTGACATCTGACTCACAAGTGTGTACATAATGCAATGCAATTACAATAAATATCTATGAAATATATTCTATTACTGATTGGTATTCTAAGTTATCTCAGATTCTTTAAAACAGATAATATAGCTCAGGCACATCCTTTGCACAGTAACAGGTCTACAAATAAATGCTCTGTCCCAACAGAAAGAGAGATTATTAATATAACCCCTTTTGTAAACTCGCTGATACAGGATCCTGATCCTTGATCTCCCTGATCCAGAACAAATATCATCAGTAAGTCCACAAATTTGTACGTTTTAGGGATCTGCGAAGAGTAAAAAAAAAGTTTACCCAAGTAGCAATGTGTTTTTATATAGTAACTCTTTATGTTTATGTGAAATGAAAAAAAACGTAGCAAAGAGGAAAAAAAGAGTATTCTGTGGCAGTAGAAAGATTTTATTGGCATAGATCTCTGATGACTGTTTACAAATAGCGAAGACAAAAAGACATTATATAGGTCCCTTGAAAAAGATCGCTGACAAAAAGCTATCCTAACTTCCTTAAAATTTCAATATTTTAGTAACTAGAAAAGCTACTGAAATCATTAGCTTTTTAAAAAAAAAAAGTATTGGCTATCTTACTTTGTCTGCCGGAATATCTGCGTATTTGAGGTCACAACAATATGCCAGAATGTTGGGTTTTTTCATATGTACAGACTTAAACAGATTATTTATGGCTAAAACATTTTTAAAATATGGAAACAAGACAATAGGACAGCGTGAGCTCATTTGGGTTTTAACAGCCCTTGTTATAAATGAACACATAACTCACTTCTGAATGTGCTCAACACTTTGGAATTCGTTCTGTGCCACACTAACAAATCACACACACGTAAGTGATGCCCTACAGAGAACAACGAAATCACATGGACAAAATTACTAGCTATACTTTATAGAAGTCTATCTTCAAAAAAAAAAAAATCCAGAAAAAAAACAAGCCTAAACTTATTTCAAATTCCTATGTTGCTGAGAGTCACAAAAAACAATGCCAAGAAACAAGAGACAACCCCTTTTTTTAGCTTTTAAAGGTTACTCTTACCCAAAGAAAACCATGTTCCATGGCACAGGAATCTGACTCTGTTTCACCAGGCAGGTACGGTTCAGGATTATAAGCAGCACATTCAATCTTCAAACAAAGGAAGAGAGAGCAGTCACCACATTAAAAAGATATGCCTGTTTCTGCCTAATTTAGCCTGTAATTAACTAAAGCATTTAAGGTTATCAAAGAATCACAGAAGGCAAGAAGTCAGTTTAGTACGTCCAGCTTCCCCATGGGGTCAGCTGCACGCATGTTGCTCCTGGCACATTCTTCATCTACTCTTACAGGCATTAAAAGCCAAAGACTACGAATTCTCTACCTGATCTGCTCCAATGCTTCATGACCTTTAAGTTTTACCAAATACTCAACCTAATGCCATCCTTGCTGTCATCATTAGCCTGTTACTTCTCATCTCAGCCACCAGGTACCTCCTTCCCTTCTGCAGTGTCCTTTTACACACAAAGCTGCTATATGTTGTGACCCTGCCTAAGTCTCCTCTTCATTAGGCTAAATTAACATTATAACCTAATTAAATTTTTTAAATGTAAAAAATTTTTAAGTAATTGGGTTTTTTTATTACTCTTTATAAAATTCTTATTATCACTTTTCAAACTGGCATCTCTCCAGCAGACATATCAGCTCCATATATTTGAGAGTGCAGAACTTTCCCACCTGAACATGCTATTCTAGCAGAGTTGTTAGCAGCACTACATCATAATCACTTCTTCTGAAGCCTATTTGTACACATCCCATTGATTATTTGCTCTTTGTAACAATATTACATTCTTAACCAATCCTTACCTTGCTAGTCTATTAAAAATTACTTTTACAGACTTTCTATTCAACCACCTCCTCAATCTGTACCTTGTGAAGCTACCTATTTCTGCCTGAGCATATCATGGGCCTGTTTTAGTGACTGTCGTCCCTTTCCCCTGCCCTAGCACCCCCAAATTATTTCTCCAGGTGCTTTACTCATTTTGAATGCTAATGCTATCATCCGTAACACTCCTACTCCCTCCAATTCATGTCATCATGTTACCGTCAGTAAATTAATAACTATACTCATGATTTTATCATGCGGGCCATTTAAGAAAATCCTGAAAGCTACACCAGACCAAAGATCTATATTTAAGTCCATCCCAACTCTGAGAATCATTCAAGCACCAAGGCTCTGAAAATAAGCATTTTTATGACCAGTCATGGATTTCTATTATCCCTAATTTCCCTAATGTCCATGGCAGAGCTCCCTAAAGCTTATGTAAACACTTTAAAATATATACAAGCAATTCATAACTGTGCAGAGAATAAAAAGGCTCCTGATGAGGTGTGACACTATGTTTTTTGACAAGATTCTGTATAATTCACGCTAATGTTCTTGTCTCAGACACCAATGTCATTATGATTATATTGCGGTACATATAATCATTTGTACATTATACATTTATATAATCACCATCTACACAGAGACAATTTGGTTATTATTAACTTAGACAACTTCACCATAACCTGGCAACATCATCTCACTACAGTGAATAATTAAAAAAAGGAAACAATCGGGTGTCAGTTAGCGTTCTAAATTCCCGGTTTATTTAATTTTCAAAGGTGTAAAGAATTTCACAAGTCTCCCTGAAGTCAGCAGGCATCACCAAGCGATTAGTAGTAGTAAAAAAAATGTTATGTATTCACTAAAGCCAATTCATTATAAGGATAAAAGACAGAAACTAATAGATGAGAAAAAGGAAAAAAAAGGAAAAAAAAAGAAAAGCTATCCATGCCAGTCTTAGCGCGTCTCATTTAACACGTGCTGAAACTATCTACTTGTCATGGTGAAATACAGTAGTTGTGACAGATAAATACATCACTAGTGAAAGAAAAGACTGCCTGCAATGCTGGATGGTTCTTGGGCTGCTTGTTACACCTCTGTTCAACTTTGCATCTTAGTCAAAACCGACGATGTTTTTCACAGTTAAACTCTGGTAGTTCTGCTCTCAATCTTGACAAGAAGCCCTTTGCCTAAGGTGTAAACTTGCTCTGATGGAAGATGATGTTACAGGCTCCCTACACTACCAGGTAGCCCAAGCAGCACACAGAGACACAACTAGCAGGGTCAGCCAAGAAAAGGGTCTCTTACCACCCCAAGCTGTGGCTGACACTCAAACTGCAGCTGAGCCTGCAGAAAACCACCAGTAATACTTAGATCATCTTTTCCAGTAACATCGAGGACTTGAGAGCATCAGGCATGACAGCTGGGCTCACACCCACATGTTGTCTTTAGGAGCTGCAAAATTGGCAGAGTTGACCTGGAGGCTCAGGCAAACACTGCCACGCACTGTCTTCTGCTGAGGTGGCCAAGGCAAAGACCATCACCCAACTGTATGGGCAACAGACTTTCCTTTCCTTTCCCTTCAAAACAAACAGATCCTGTTGTAACTTGATTATAGGAGTTGAGCTTGGGCCTTCAAAGCTCCTGGCATGGACCTACAGGACTTACAAATGCATAGGCTCGAAGGAAACAAATATTTTAAGTTTCAGAAAAAAAATTAAATTAGTTTGGTGATCTCACCAGTGGTGACTTTAGAAAGTATTCAATACAGGCAGAGCTGAGTGTTTAATAACATAAAAGATGTCTGTGGTTGTATGGGAGACTTCCAGTAGACTTTGGTTGCTGTAGACTATAGCTCTGCTCTGAAAACCAGTATCACAGGAATGGTTTGATTTAACACTGTTAAACGTTTCAAATGCATTTCCAGCTATCAATTACTTTCCCCCAACATCCAGGCCTGTATACTCACACTTGAAGTGAAGTGGCCAGCTGAACTTCCCTCCTGAGTAGGCTGTCCTAGCAACGAGGGTCTGCAGACTTACTGCTTTAAGCAGTACCCATGTGATGATGTTAATTTAACATTGGCATTCTGGCCACGCATATACAATTTTATAGCCGATAGTGCTTTTGCATAAGCCTAACTGACTGATGGCCAAAAAGAAATCCTGTTGATGCATAGGAAAAAACAGTATCCAGCACCCTTCCCTTCCCTTCCCTTCCCTTCCCTCTGTTGGTCTGGACACCCTGCACTTATTTTCGTCACTAAAGCCAGAGGTCAATATGACTTCAAACTGACACATTACTTTAGGAAATAAGTCATTAAGACAATTTCTGAATCATTGTTCGGAACAGAACTACATTGTATATAATATCCCATAAAATCAAACTTCAAAAATTATTTTAAATCTATTACTCTCTGTGCACTAATGAAAATCAGAAATTTGAGGACAATTCAAACACAAGTACAGGACAGCTATCATGGACATCAGACTCCTGCACTTTGTAAGCTGCAGGTTACTTTGGAGCCTCAAACAAACACTTGGAAACCTCAAGACCAATTTTGACCAAAATTCCCAGCAGTTCTGTTTTTACCAAGTAATGAGCTTACACCTGAAAGTGAACACCACGCTTCGTAAAAGTAAACACCATGTCCCTTAGCGCCTCAAAGATTGCAGTATTTCCATTCCTGTGACCGTCTTGGACCTTCCAAGGTCCTGCTATTGGTCTTACACCAAGGTAGTAATTCAAGAGAACTAACGGATGTAAACTAATAGATGTATTTACAATACAGTATTCTTTAGCAGTTATATCACACAGGAAAAATCAATTGTAATTTCATATAACAATTCTTTCACCTTAAACTCCTGTTGCTTGGCCATCATCACTGGCATGTGTCTAACAAGGAGAGGATGTTTCTCCTTTTTGATTTGATTCCCATCATCTTCTACACAGAACCAACCTAACAGGTTATCTTCCGCTGTAATGGAAAGAACGAACATCCCACAATACTTTCACTGAATAATTACTTACACCTCTTTACAGGAATAGAAAAGAATTTTATTAGGATTGGTTGATACTGATCAGGCTGTTCTTATGCCATATATGCATAAATGACAACTTAAAACTATGAGCAAAAATTCAATATAGTAGATAACATACATATTGATAGTATAAAAAAGGATCACCTTACACTAGCAAAACATTAGGATGTTCTCTCAATGATCTCGTCAGTAGGTTATTAAAAGAGGAAAAGGCACGTCAAACCTCTCCTCAGGCTCCAGGAAATCTGTTTTGCAAATAGCATTTCTCTGCCTGTATAACTGACATCACTTCCAAGTACTACTTATTATAAGGAAACTCCATCTGGAATGATGGATACATCCATTCTCTCTTCTTTTGTTTTTGTTATTTTACCTGCCTTCAGTGAAATACTACAAAAGCACTGTATTTCGAGGATGTGCTGATGAAGCTTGCTTTCTAGCAAGTGCATGTCCTCAATGTTTCTCAACTTAGGCATCCAAAGCCAAGGTATTTTTGGAAACCTATACCCCCTGGGCAAACACAGGAGACTAATAACATCACAGGACAGCACATTCTTTATTGCTTCCACTTAAATCAGGTTTGTTTGTGATAATCCCCCTAGTGCACATTGCAGAAATATGTTTAAAAAATGCACCTCTCTCCAAAAACCTTGAATTTTACATATCCAACTACAGAAATATTGCATTATATTAAAACCACACCCATAAGTTTATTTCATGCTCAGAAGGCTAAACAAATAAACTCAATAGCTTTACTGGTATTTCCTAGTTAAAATCATTCTGAGCTAAAACTGAGAAATTTAAACCCGAAATTCAAAGTTTAAAGAGTTCATAAGATGTGAAGAAATAAGTTTACAACGGAATAACTTCCTCACTTGTCTGTCCTGTAGTATATCTCATTCTTGTTGATTTGGAGATAACCATTAGTAATGTTTATCACAGACTTCATTAAAATACTGTAGAAATTATATTCCTTCATAATGAAACGCCCCATTCTATCTATAACTGTATTACTTTGTAGTGATACACAATCAATACTATTTATCATATTGCAATTCTAACATCTGCAGATAGATTTTTTTTTTACAAAAAAATTCATTTTCTAAAAAATGAGGTTTTTTTAAAAAAAATATTACATTCTACATTGAGAGCTATCTTAACTTGATACAAAATTTAAGTAACTAAGAATTACCAAGGGCCAGTTTAGCCATTTGTAAATTGTTGATCCAAGATTGTTTGATGGCAGGGGTAAACGTATTGAACACAGCTGTAAAGAAAGTGGGCCGCCCAGACCTGCAAGACAAAAAAAAGCTACTCTAAATGCATGGAGTATGAGATACAGTCAAGGCTAGAGATGTTGAAGCAAGATGAAATTTCATTATTTTCTAATACTCAAAGACACAGCTCCGATAAAAGCATGCAGGCTACGATATGCTATATGCTCATCTTCCCACACTTTACATGAAATGGTACGAGAAGAACACGCTCTTTGATGGAGCAATATAACAGCAGCTGTTCCCTATTAGCTGTCACTGCCACAGTCCCTCTCTTGCTTCTTGCATCTGGAACGCAGGGTTGAAGAACAGGAGAAAAACTACAACACTGCCCTGGAATGTAAAAGTACCCAGCATTGTGGCATGAAAGCAGAAGTCGGAGGCTAACTGTGGAGACAGATGAGGGGGAAGAGCTACAGATTCCCAAATCCTCCGTGATACATCTATGCATAATACATAAGCCCGTTTAGAAAGTGCTGTAATCAAGATTATTACTGACTTGTCCTGTTTTCCTGGGAGTTGCAGCTGAATTCTACAGCGATCTGCCGCTCTGATTTCATCTTCTTTTTTCAAAATCAGTTTTTGTAAACCTGAGGTCCAGTCATGGGCTACAGATTGGTTCAAGTTCTGAAAAATTAAAAAAGCTGAGATTCAACTAAGGTGATCTCTGCATATAACAAACAACTCTTGGCACCTAGGCCTCATTCAGTCCACATTTTAATCATGAATAATTTAGCCATATTTGTAAACACATTTCAAAAACATCTGTAAAAAATTCGCTAACATATTTTATCTGATGATTTAATCTCATATTGCTCAGAGTTTGATCATACACAAGTCACATTCTCAAGCGTCTGTCAGATTAGGAAATGTAAATTTGCATCAGATGCACGCACAACCCTTTTACTCCATTTCAGTGAGTAGTTATACAGAACCCACAAATTCTGTTTCTAAAGAAAATCTCATGAAATTGTCTACAAACCATATTGCTAATATGTTTTTGTTCAAAACTTTGAGCCAAAATGCTGAAACAACAACCCTCTGCAAGCTGAATGTTGACAGAGGGTTAAAAGCACACCTGAGTGACACTGCATCAATAGTAATGAGCATTCATACACAAAAGTACACTAATTTTCCAGTGTCAGAATTTTATGAAAATGGAAGTATTTTTCAAAAATAGAGAAGATGACCTCATTTCTCAACTAAACTGTTCTAATTATCTTTCACATCTCTATGTGGAAACATCGACTGAATTTTTAGTTTTCAAAATGTAGTTGGCTCTGACTGGCAGTACAGGCAGAAAGGCTTTGTGTATGTTAATGGACGAAAGTCTTATGGTATCTGTGCCATATATATTCCCACCAATGCAGCTGAAATTCACCTTCAAATACTTGTGAAATTTTGTCTAAAAGTACTGTTTCCATAAACTTTCTTCACAGCACATACTTTCACAAAATCTTATGTTTTATTTAATGCCCTTGGCTCTGAAGGCAAGATATCCCAAGAGAAACTCAGCTTTCATACACATATTTTCACACACACATATATATATTTACAGCCTCTGGTGGCAGGTAGAAGTCAAAGATTGTGCCTAAGCATACATAAAGCGTATAAAACACATGGCAAAAAAGTAATTTTTTTAAGTCTTAAGACTGTGGAGAACTCATTCCGAAATTCAGTGTTAAAGTACTGTATCTGTTTGCCAGAATATAAGCTAAATAAAAGGGATGTGAAAAAAGCCAAAGCAAAATTCCTCTGAAAATCCTTTTACATTTTGGTGATTTGCACTCAGTTTTAAGTACAGCTCCCCCGAAAGCCAGGATTATGAGCCTGGATGGGCATCAAGAGCTTCCTCCAAGCAACCGTCCTCCTACTACCTTGTCTAACTGCAAGAATCCAATTTCTTAAGATCAAAATGTAATTCTGTTTCCATGTAAGCTTATTAGCTACTGAGCAAATGCAGACACTTGTAGTATCCACCTACGCTTAAAAACAATAAAGAAAAACAAGATGAGAAAGACAGCTGTAATCTACTTATAACATTAAACAGTTAACTGTAAATGAATTACTAGAGGAAAAATTATTACACTCTTTACAGAGAGAACTAAAGAAATGTCTTGCACAAATCCTAGGGAGAGACAATTATGCTACTTTACAACAGGAACATATTAGAAAAATAAATCCAGCTTTGTTTATTACCTGATAGTTTCCTTTAAGGCTGCCTATTAATTGACTAATTTGACCAACTACATTCAAGTCATGTAAAAGGTTCTGCAGATCATGGTATAGTTGCCCTGGTCCCATATAGAGCTTGTCTAAAATGAATAAAAACATAAGGTTATATATAATAAAAAGATGTAATTCCCAGTTGAGGGAGGAAAGCACAACAAAGATAATATTATTAACATGTATCTCTACTTCTTAACACTATGAAAATTAAGCTTAATCAAAATTGGTGACACTCTAGATTGCAAAAACAACTAATGCATCGATGTGCAGCTAGCGTCTTCATTACTTCTGGAAATCAGAGTGGTTTATTTATACAGATATCATTGACATTTCACTTTGCTGCTCCAGGTGCTTTCAAAGTCCCTGCAGACAGATAATTGTGAAATGCATCCCAGGAAATTATACATAGTAATATAGTAATAGTAATATGTTATCACATATTAGCTTTGCATATGCAGGCACTACTATAGGTATTTACTTTGAGCTCATCTTATCATAGCCTTTTATAGTTAGAATTCAGATTCAAGTTTGTTCATCTAGTATGACAGAGTGCACTCTGTGCCCGTGGCAAGGGGGTTGGAACTAGATGATCTTTAAGGTCCCTTCCAACCCAAATCATTCCATGATTCTATGGTTCTATGTGCAGTTTTAATGAGCATGCTCTAGAACTGCGACAAACATCGAAACTTCACTGGCCCCAAATTCTCTCGCTGACGTGGAAGTTTTACTTAGCGCCAACCAGCAGACTTGCTGTTACACCTTAGTTTAAACATCCTTCCTGAAGGTTGCTTTTGGACACATAATGAAGCCAAAAAATTTATTTGTAGCCTTCACTATGGTGGTTTAGAACTCAAAATTTGTTTAATTGATCACAAGATGCCAGTTTGCTTTCACTTGGAGGGGCGTCCAGTATACCCGGAATCGACTGCCCCGGGGTGGAAACACAGCCCTACTATTTGCCATGGACTGATCCAGACTACACTGGAACAGAAGCCAGAACATTTGCAATACATTGATGACATCATTGTATGGGGCAACACAGCAGAAGAAGTTTTTGAGAAAGGTGAAAAAATAATCCAAATCCTTCTGAAAGCTGGTTTTGACATAAACCAGAGTAAGGTCAAGGGACCTACACAGGAGATTCAGTTTTTGGGAATAAAATGGCAAGATGGGCGTCATCAAATCCCAATGGATGTGATTAATAAAATAACAGCTATGCCCCACGTTGGGTACCAATTAAGACTGTGTAGGGTTTGGTTGCCCCAGAGGTCTAACCCACGACAATGTTTATAACATAACACTAACTCAGAAAAATACTCTGATTGGTAGGATAAGATGTCTATTTAAACGCACAAAGCTTGCAAAGCCCCACTAATACACTCTGACTCCCAGACATGATGTTAGGAGCAGGATGGCTCTTGCGGAAACAATGTTCTCCATTTCCCCAGAAAACCCCACCCCAACTCATACAGAGTCAGCATGTTTTCCTCTGGCTGAATGACAGGAACCGGCTGGATTATCTTTCCAGGAAACCCCTGCAGATTATTTAGCTCATGCACTGTAGTATCCAAACTATGGATCCTTCATCCTTACTACAACTTTGGAAGCTAGTCTGTGGGCAGGAAACTCCACTGGAGCAGAAGGATTTCAAACCTGTGTTGGCAAGAACACGATCTAAATATAATGCTGGCTATCCACTCTACAGACAGATCAGGGGCACAGACACGAGCCATGCCACTTGGTCTGGTTGCCAGGGCACACCAGTGCCGGACAAACAGCAGCTGCCAGCTGAGACACTGCTAGCACCCTCTGTTCCCCAAATACGCTACAGGGACACAACACACTAAACCAAACACAAAGCTACTGATACAGCATAATCCAGAATAAACAGAAAAATAAACATGCATAAGACAATCCTTCTTAAATCATTCATGTTTTCTCAATTATGTGTCAAAATAACTGCACTGTCTAAAGACATTTTCCTATCTGGAGGCATCACACAGATTGAAGCCACTACTGGATCACAGAATCATAGAATGGTTTGGGTTGGAAGGGACCTCAAAGATCATCTAGTTCCAACCCCCCTGCCATGGGCGGGGACACCCTCCACTACACCAGGTTGCCCAAAGCCTCATCCAACCTGGCCTTGAACACTTCCAGGGATGGGGCATGTACAACTTCTCTGGGCAACCTGTTCCAGTGCTTCAATACCCTCACTGTAAACAGTTTCTTTCCTAGATCTAATCTAAATCTGCCCACTTTCAGTTTAAAGCCATTACCCCTTGTCCTATCACTATATACTCTTGTAAAAAGTCCCTCTCCAGCTTTCCTGTAGGCCCCCTTTAAGTACTGGAAGGCTGCAATAAGATCACCCCGAAGCCTTCTCTTCTCCAGGCTGAACAGCCCCAACTCTCTCAGTCTGTCTTCAGAGGAGAGGTGCTCCAGCCCTTGGATCATCGCTGTGGCCCTCCTTTGGACCCACTCCAGCAGCTCCATGTCCTTCTTGTGTTGGGGACCCCAGAGCTGAACGCAGTATTCCAGGTGGGGTCTCACGAGAGCAGAGTAGAGGGGCAGAATCACCTCCCTTGACCTGCTGGCCACACTTCTTTGGATGCAGCCCAGGATACGATTGGCTTTCTGGGCTGCACGCACACATTGCTGGCTCATGTTGACCTTCCATCCTCCTCCAAGCCTGTACTTGTGCTTGGGATTGCCCCGATCCATGTGTTTTTCTTTATCGTAATTCACTATATTAATCTAGGAGCCTGCCTTAAACCTTGAGAAGTATAAAATTTCGAGGCTCAAGGAAAGCATCAAGGGTTACTTTATCTCTGAATTCTCG